ATATATATATATATATATATATATGTAAATTGTTGAGTGTACTTATGTACTTTCATCTCAGTGAAAGTAAAAAGTATGTTTCAGCATTCTACGGTTGTAAAATAATTGCACTGGCGCCATCTATTGTGGTTAATGTCAACTTCTAGCATTGTCGAGAGATGGCATCTTACATTTTTCACTTAATAGTTGTGATATTTAAAGTTTCAATCTTGTTTATTTATATATTTTTCTTGAAACAGACCTTACAATCGATGTTTATGAGAATCAAATGCAGTAAAACTTCCAAACATCTAAATCATTTTGCTTTAAATCATTGATAATCGATTCTTACAAATATTCTCCAAATATAGAAATATAACATCTGAACACATTGAAATATGATTAATTAACTATTATATTTAAGTGTTGTTATTATTTTTTAAGTACTTCAACATACCATATCCTCTTCTTAAGATCACTTCTGGTGCTATATATTCTGGTGTCCCAAACACTTGTTTGTCATTAAACAGTTTAGTTTCTCGGTCCAAACATCCTTCATAAAGATTGGTTGCCACTGAGAATGAAACCGGTCAAGCAGACACAGGTTAAAACTGGGTTAAGGCATGACTTGATTTTTATAACACAAAAACTAGGATATGTAGAAAACGATATATCTTTAATTACGGAATACTTAGTTTTATCATTACTTTGTTTGTGTGTTGTTAAGCGCAAAGCTACACAATGGACTATCCATGCTGTGCCCACCACAGGTATCGAAACCCGGTTTTTAGCGTTATAAGCCTTCAGATTTAGCAGCAAGTCCGACGGCTTATATTGATAGAAATTGGTTTTCGATATCCGCGGTGGACAAAGAACACATAGCCCATTGTATAGCTTTGTGTTTAAAAACACCACAAACAAAGTAAACGTATATGTACTGAAACATATTTAGCGGTCTTTCGCAAAAACAGCCAGCATTTTTCGATTTCCCTCTTTATTTACGATAAACTATCTTAACAATTTGAAATAATGTACACAAAGTTTTAAAAGTTTTCAGATTTAGAAAATATTTCGTAAAACTATTCAGCAGCAATTATATTCATTCGGCAAATTTAAATTTTCAAACTAAGCTTTGTATCCTGCATTATTACTTTTATTATCATTATAACTCACTGAAATTAGTATTAAAAACTTGAGTTGACACATCAAGAAGAAACAAATATATTTTTGTGGCTTTATTGGAAATAAAAAAGGGGAAATATATCTTTACATTAATTAATATTTTTCCTACAGTCGATTTTACGCATAAATTTCAAATCAGGAATACGTATATGTTTTTTACTTTCACAGTTATTCCTTGATTACCTGCTTCGAATAACATGTTGTTATGAATGAATTCGTTACAGTAAGTTTCCAGTTCGGTTTGTACAAACAATAGTTAAACTCTGGATATTTCCCGTAATATATACATTCATTGCGTAGCTTTAAGACTTTTAAAACTGATATCTTTATTGATGGCATCTTTGTCTGTTGTTAAGCATAAAGCTGCACCAAAGGGCTATCTGTGCTCTGCCAACTGCATATATCGAAACCTAATTTTTAGCGTTATAAGTCTATAGATTTACCACTGAGCCACCGGGGGCTTTTACCAATAGTTAAATATTCTTTGTATTTCAACATAATAATCTGATTAGTTTGCCTAAACGTAGAAGTGATTGTTTTATTTTTGCATAGCCTCCATTCTTGAAACTTTTTTTTCTTCTGAAAACTAAGAAATATTAAACTTCATAAAACAATTTGTGTTTCTAGAGTCAGAGCTGTGGCTTTCTGAGGTGTCTATTAAAAACAAAGTGTTGTTTGTTTGTTTTTCCTGTTAGCCCCTGAGAAATATACATATTGTTATATCTTACCTGATCAGAAAATTACTTACAGTTCATGAGTCCAATTTTGGAGAGTCCAAAATCTGTGAGTTTTATGTGACCCATAGCAGTGATCAAAAGACTAGTGACAAAATATTAGGAAATAATGCATATTAAGAAAACGTTAAGAGCTTTTGACGACAAAATATGCCTTATTAATTTAGAGTATTATTATTATTCTTCATTAACAACTAATATTTTATAAATGAAAACTATTGACGTATTTCTTCCCACCTTAATACACAATTTTCACAAAAATTACGTAAAATGGTGGATACTTTTATCTAATCGATTGTAAGATTTTTCTTCTATTTTTAATTCTACATGAATAAGTAAACTAAAAACAACGATACTGTTCAGATTACTACTTTTCACGTTTTTTTATCTTCCTGTAAGAAAAAATACTTCTGTATTAAAAAATGCACGTAATATTATTTTTATGTTATGATACCCATAAGACTTTTAAACACGTATCTGTTTACAAAATTGTATATACAGATGGCGCCACTATCATTTTTTAACAAATAACATCTTTTTTCAAATGCCACTATTTCAATATGATAATATTGGACGTACTTATCAGGCTTAAGATCTCTGTGGACAATTCCATAACTATGCAGATATTCAACTGCCAATACTGTTTCTGCAAAGTAAAAGCGCGCCATATCTAGAGGTAGAGGCCCCATGTTCTTCAACAAGTTAGCACAGTCACCTCCTTCCACATACTCCATCACCATACATAAATGTTTCTAATGCGTCGAGAGAAAATTTAAAGAATCTAGATTATATTCAAACTATTTTAATTGTTTTAGTTCACAGAGTTGCCTGAAAAAAGGTTTAAAAAATTATGCAAACGTTCTTACAGTAATGTTTATTGTGTCTGTTTAATGAACTTTTCGGTCTATCAGACAAGTTTCTATCTATCATCCATTTTTTGAACATAACGCTATTAAGAAACGTGATATTATTACGGGAAAACTACTTAAGAGTCTGTTTGTTTTTAAGCATAAATTATTAAGTAAATAAAAGTACAGGTACATAGATATACTTCAGTCAAAGTACATGTATTAACAGAACCACATCCAAAAACAAGTTGCTATAGGTTAATAAATAGATCGCATACTAAAACTACTATTTAAAAAAACCAAGCGAAAAACGAACCATGATAAATAATCAATCAGAGACGTCATATCATGGTTTTTAATTAATCTATATAATTTTTGAAACATATCTACACTTCTGCTTACTTCATAAGTTCGTACGTGACACATAAAACAAGGAAATTACACTACCGTTCTCAGAGAAAACGGAAAATATATTTCCTTCCCTGTATCAGAAAGATTTTTTAAAATATTACAATACCTTTCTTAGATAAAACAATAAATCAGTTTCATTCACTATATCAGTGCCAGTCTCTTAAAATTACAATACTCTTTTCAGAGAACATAGAAAATCAATTTTCTTCACTATATCAGTACCAGTCTTTTAATATTACAATACCCTTTTCAGAGAACATAGAAAATCAATTTTCTTCACTATATCAGTGGGCCCGGCATGGCCAGGTGGTTAAGGCACTCGACTAGCAATCTGCGGGTCGCGGGTTCGAGTCCCCGTCACACCAAACATGCTCGCCCTTTCAGCCGTGGGGGCGTTATAATGTTACGGTCAATCCCACTATTCGTTTGTAAAAGAGTAACCCAAGAGTTGGCGGTGGGTGGTGATGACTAGCTGCCTTCCCTCTAGTCTTACACTGCTAAATTAGGGACGGCTAGCGCAGATAGCCCTCGTGTAGCTTTGCGCGAAATTCAAAAACAAACACTATATCAGTACCAGTCTTTTAATATTACAAAGCGCAAGTCGGTTTCGATTTTCTAGAAATGAAGAACTTAAACGTTACTATGTCATACTAAAAATGTTTTTGAAAATGAAATATATTATTAATACTTGTCATAAACTCGGGCTTAAACATAATTTTATTGTTATTTTCTTCCCTGATCATATTTCAAATTTCAGTTCTGACTATGCATTTAATCCTTAGTTGATTGATTAATTATTTTAGTGTTATATGCGCTAGCCGTCCCTGTTTTTGAGCAAATAGACTTGAGGGAAGGCAGCTAATCTAGAGCACCCACTTTAACTCTGGGCTACTTTAATCAAAGCGTTGGATTTGACCGTCACTCATATAACGCACCTACATTTCCAAAGTTCGGAGCGTGACCGTGGGGGGGGGGGGGTGTCGTGAACCATTGACCATATCCACAGCTTGGTTCATAATGGAACAAATTTCTGGTCTACACAGAGTAAAGAACAAGTTTGAACCGAGTTTGCTCTGTTTTACAACTTATACTTAGAAACGTTTGTCATCAATACTTAAATATATCAATCAACATGAAACACCTTGTCATGCATCTTTAAATAATTTAGCAGTCACATGATACCTGAAAAACGTGTAGTTGTGGTCGTGTTTAACACGTTCTTATGTATTTTCTCTTTTATAGATATATTTCATATAAATGTTAACTGATTTCCAAGAGCCTGAAATAAATAATTCATAAATAGCTTCTTCAGAATTCATGTATAAATGTATTCTACACACTAGCCTGCAGTACACACACTTCCACTCTACACAAGCTCATACCTTTGTTTCAAACGTACAGAGCATGCCAACGACGAAAGGGTTGTCAGTAAAACTCATGATGTCTCGCTCTGCGAAAGCTTGTTCTACCTGATTCCGTAGAACAAGATTCTGTTTGTTGATTTTCTTCATCGCAAATCTCTCTCTGGATTCCTTGTGCCGCACGAGGTACACAGCGCTGGTGGGATTAAGAATACATAAAGAACGTTTCTAACATAAATTCCAAGCAATGATTTATATTCAACATTAAACACTCCAACAACAGATGGTAATACCGATAATTTATCTCAAAGGCTCAGGCCTAAGTTCTGTTTCTTTCTGAACATGTGTATTGATGTTAGGCTTACTTTGCAGCTGTCAATGGAATGTAGATATTCATCGCGTAACCAGACTGAATTTATTCTCCAAATAAACCATTTTACTTAAAGCAGTTAATCCACTTATTTATTTTGCAAAAGCAATAAAAAACAGAAAAAATAAACGTATTGAGAAATTTTAATTTAAAAATACTAAGCTAATAAATTGTTTGTTTTTTTGTAATTTTATAAAAAGTAATTTAATCAGTAAATCCTTCTGGAAGCTGAGTAACGCATACTGCCTTTAGGAAATGAAACCTACTTGTATGTTCCATTATTAATAATGAAACCTACCCATATGTTTCATGAATAAGTAATGAAACCTACCCATATTTTCCATTATTAATAATGAAACCTACCCATATGCTCCATTACTAAATAGTGAAACCTACCCATATGTTCCATTATTAATCATATGGGTAGGTTTCATTCTCCATTACTAAATAGTGAAACCTACCCATATGCTCCATTACTAAATAGTGAAACCTACCCATATGCTCCATTACTAAATAATGAAACCTACCCATATGTTCCATTACTAAACAATGAAACCTACCCATATGTTCCATTACTAAATAATGAAACCTACCCATATGCTCCATTACTAAATAGTGAAACCTACCCATATGCTCCATTACTAAATAATGAAACCTACCCATATGCTCCATTACTAATTAATTTGATTGTTTCAAAATCCTCTTCAGAAGGTGGTTTAGTTCTTTGTTTTTCTGGAACTGATGCCTGTTGAAGCACAAATAAAATAACAGCAGTGCCAGACCAGATGTAAATAAAACAAAAAAATTCCAATTAACATAAATTCTATTTTAGTTGTAGAACTTCAGCACAAACACACCTGAAGTTAAAATATATTCAGAAAAGAAAAACATCAAGTGAAAAGAACTCTAGAAGCAAAATATTAGATATGATTTGTTCAATCTTTGAATTGATAATATATCAATTGACCAAAAGATTTAAAAACTAATTTACTTGGAAGAAAATCAACCACAACGGGTAGAATAACATCATTTACCTTACAGAATCTGGCTTTAACACGTTTTGTTCATAAGAACATTTACAATATATTTTTGGAAAAACCAGCAGTAATTAATATAACTTTCGTAATAAATCAATAACACAGGCCTGCGATGGTTTTATTATCTTGAAATTTTTACATATTTGACAGTAATTCCTGTACACTGAATCCGAAAATAATATCCATTTTTCTCCATCACGTACAGATTGTTCACAAAGCGTTATACATGTATGTACTTTTACATAAGTGAATCATTTTCATTTAAATCGGGTCACATTTTGTTATGATTAAAACGTTGACAACCACTGGCTATAGAGTTCTCTAGACCAATCGCGACGTGACAATCTTATCGATCAACAAATCGAGAAGAAAAAAACTCTTACTTAGATCAAATTAATATTTCGTTTACCACAATGAATATCTTGATATTATTATGTTTGGGTTCTAGAAAAAATAATATTTATTTATTTCTATCACGTTAAGGATTTTTTTGAAATCTGCGTAGCTGAATTATGGAAAATCCGTTGTTAAAACCAAAACAATTTTTATGAAGCTTAAATTCGCAACCCTGTGTTATTATCTGCCAGATATTTATTTATTTGTAATTAAGCACAAAGCTAAACAATGGGCTATCTGTGCTCTGCTCACCACGGTTATCGAAACATGGATTCCAGACATACCGCTGTTCCACGTCTATCTGCCAGAGAAAAACAAGGAAAAAGAGGTAATTAGATATAAAACAACTGAACGGTTTTCTGCTGATCATGCATTTATGTAAAAATTCATAGAACCTGGCTAAATGAAAATTTTTGAAAATCCGTTTATCAAGAAAATAATGTAGAAAACATGTAGTATGTCTGCATTCTAGAACATCACATGACTTACCACTGGAGGACACCGCTTCAACATCCTTGCACAACGTGCAATATTGCAGCAAAAAACCCATGGGCAGAACAGGTATTATCTATTCGAGAATGATAAAGGAACAAAGGCAGTTAGGAATAACTGAATTTAATGTATTTCTCGACCATGTGTAAGTGCAACTTGCTTATATGTAGAGTAAAGAATAAATTCAAAATAAACACTATAATATTACAAGAAGGTAGTTTCTTTTAATGAGGTTACGCGTGCTGTAGTGTTTGCACAGAAGTAATGATTATGTGAAAAAAAAATCTCTAGAGAGCACTTGCAAAAATACAAATATGAGGATCAGCCAGCCTAATTTGCATAATTGAAGTGCTGTTTACGCTGCATATTCTGAGCCTTAACCTGGTCGTAACGTGCTATGTAGACAAACTGTTGTAACGTATTGTTATGTATCTGCTTGTTTGTTAATTTCCCGTAGAAATTCTTTCTGAGAGACTTCAGCGATAGAAGTCCTTTCTTAATTAAAACCAGTTTATTCTTTCTCGATACAACTTTGCAATATACAGAATTTCCACAGTCCATATGTTTGCAATCTCGATAACAAAACACACACTTTATATTACCATCACTGCTGCTCGCTTGACTCATTTATCTGTCTCTATATCTATCTATCTGCAATTTTTATCTCCGCTTTATTTGCCGGGCTTATATACAAAAAAAGAGGGCGCCTAGAACAGACTAGAGTTGCCAGGAAAAGTCAAGATCCTTCGAGAATCTTATGACGTGTTACCAGCGTCACATGACTTCTGCTGTCGTAACAGTATGTTTGTGTTTGAAGTCAAGCTATCATAGAGTCTTAGACTCTATATGTATGGATGGCCAAGGTGCTCAATAGGTATAATACAAATATGCACACTATAAAATTAACAATTAAAGTGAGTTTTACTTTAAAAGATGATAGCCACTCACTTTCATTTGTTTCTCTACACAAGAAGCCAAAAACAAGACAAGAAATCATCGCTAAGATACCAAACCAGAAAGTGACCAGCCCACACAAGTTGTTCATCTTTCTTCTTCTTGTTTCAGTCGAGGTAACTCTACAACAACTTTATCATTAACGTCAGTTTAAACATAAATCCGCTCTATGTGTTTCTTGGCAGTGCACGATGCCATCGCTTAGTCGTAATAACTGGCAGTAAGTAAAACAAAAATCATAATTCTGGTGTAAATGATGTTATCACTACCCTTTAAAGTTAACTTTTTTTAAGAAATCTGATGTTCCTTTAAAAAGCTTAAGTACAGGGTGAAATAAGAATTACCAGCCAATTAAAGATGAATATTAGATGATTGTAACATGTAGAACACTCAATGCTTTGTACATTGTACAATCAATGTCTTTAAGGAGCCAACCCCCTATATTATGTATGAAGTGAAGAAGTAAAAAAAAAATCTATGCACATAATATGAAGTTTTATTACACATATTCAGAGAATACACTAACTTTCATTCAGGGGGTAAACGTCACAAAACAAGTAACAAAAATATTTTGTAAAT